TAGTGAGACTGTCAGCACCTCTCTACATGAAGGGAGCTGGCTGCATGACTTTGGCAGATGCATTATGCAACATGCAAAAACTCTGAAAAATTTAAAGAGGGGGAAGCAGCTTGCTGTTGAACATAGTTGTCTAAGTAAACTAATAAAATATTTCGGCACTGTATCTCAGCTGAAACCATCTAGTCTTTCCTTATTGGAATGCAAGCCAGGACATAAAGTAAAAGATGGCTGGATGATTAAAGATAGAAGGGTATTCCTATTGAGCCTATTGTTTCTTCCTTTTGATTACCAAATACTTAAGAAATACAATGGAGTGAAAAGAAAACCTGTCTCCAAGGATTGTTATGTTGTCCTTCCGTTTCAAAGCCTTACTTAGTRCCTTTTATGAAGCTCAGTGGTGCCCTGAATTTATTAAGTACATGAATGGGTTGAAAAATTCAGTGAAGTTGACGTATTCACAGCATGYAAGTGACAGAAAACTGGGAAAGACAGGGTTTGGAATGTGTATTTGAACTCATCTTTACTAATCACTAATCACTTTCCTAATGGGGGAAAAGCCATCATGAAGCTACAAATTGGCCAGACTGTTCCACAGACAATTAGCCAGAGATCTGTCCCCACTATTGCTTTGTTTGTTTAATATGTTTGTTTAATATTTAATTTTATTTATAAATGATGTCACCTTTAAAGGATACCAATGGTCGATATGTCAGCCATTTGGCAGATTGCATAGAAATTCCTAATTTATTTTTTCCCCTCTGCATTGGCATTACCTGTGAAAGTAGATTCAGTTTGAGGACTTCTGTCCCAGGGGAAAAAAAAAAGTGATGGTTTCACAGATGCAGTGCTTTGGACAGGTAAGAAAGGCCTCCACTGAGAAGTAAAACCAGCCTCAGCACGTGCAAAAGTAGAAATAGAAAAATGGAATTGCTGAATATCCACACTGCCACCCTTGTGTACTTGCATGAAAGTAATCAAATGGAAATGAAAGAGGAAGGAAATGGATTTTCTTTCCACATGGAAGACAACTGAGAAGTTCTAAAATCTTAGGTATTCAGGTGCCATGCAAGAATAGACTAGACAGGCTAGGCATGAATAGAATGACTATATATCAGTCATTCTTCTTTTAAAGGAAATTTGAATTTAAAAAAAAAAAAAGTGAATGTTTAGAAGACACAGGATAACAATATTAGTTTGGTTTGTTCCATCTACTCCCATTCTGTTTTTCTTGCTCTGGTGGTGGTGCTTGATGCACAACTAGAAGCAAGTTCTGTAATCATCCTGTGGGGATCTTGGTCTATTGGATTCATTAGGAACAAAGAAAAAGGCTTCTCAAGTACATCCAGAAACACAACATAAATCCCTTTAAATCTGTTTCAGATGATGGTGCTGCATTCAGAAAATGGAATCTGAAATCAGAGGGATTGCTTTAGTTTCATAAGCATTAGAATTCCAGGAGTTTAGCATGATCTGTAGAGTATCAGAAATCCTTCTGTTTCCAGCTAATGGTTATGTTATTCCCATGAGAGGGAAGAGCTCCAACAGAAGGAAGAAAAATTTGTTGAGTGAATCCCAGGATGGCAGCATGTGTCAAGTTAGTATTCTCAAACATCAGCAAATTACATTGGAAGATTGGGGGATTTTGTTGTTTGTTTTTTTCTCCCCATTCTTCAAATATATGACTCAAAATACTAGGAAGATGTGGTGATTTTAGATGGAATAACATTAGAGAGGCTGCTGGGTGGCTGCTACGTTTAACAGGTCCAATTGCCTTTTCCTCATTGTATGAAATGTGGTTGTTTCTTCCATTTCTGAAAATATCTAAGGTTCTTTTGTCTCTCCAATGTAATTCCTGTTGCAGGATTTCCTTACGATGACATAGGATCATTATATTATTATTTTTCAAAAAACAAAGTACAGTTTTTATGATTGTGAACAAGGAGACCAGTTTGTTGTGATGGTTGTCAGTCTCAATAATTGCTAATTAATGCAGCTGAAATACATGACCATATCTCTTACTGATAATTACCTCAACTATACAAATTATCAAGGTTGCTTGTTTCTGTGTCAGAGAACATTCTGAAAGGAAATCTTTTCCACAGGAAAAGAGAATGACAGGTAAAATAAATGAAGTGTGTTTGCTTAGGAGCAAGTGTTTTATGAATAATTGTTTCATGCCTTGCAAATTAACTACATCATGCATGCCTGGGAATTACAGAAAACTGAAATAGGGTACATAGGGCATGTTGGAATTTACTATGTAATTATATTTCTAGTTGTATTTTATATCATTCTAAAGGGCTTGCAACATAAGAATTCAGCAAAGAGATGCCAGTGCTGGTGTGCTTTGTCACTGGCTTTGGCATATGTGTATTTCCCAGAAGTCAAATAAATATTCTGTTTATTTACCCTTTTTCTAGGATCTCTATAGGTGTGTGAACTATGGATAGGGTAAYGATTCAGGAATGTAGATTAAAATCCCCAGCAAGGGGCCAGAAAAGCCTGTTTGGCTTCTAAAAAAGTGAAATAGAAAAAAAAGTTTCCAAAGAAGGTTCTGAAAGAGCAGTGTTCTGCTTTTTGTTTCCATCTGCTAATTAAATACGAGGGAACATTTTGTACTTTTTATGAAACTKGGTTTGAACTGCTGTGATGAGCCCTCAAGCTGGCTTGAACCTTGTGGTAAAATTGCCCTGTTTTGGGGCAATTCTCATTGCAAATAAGAGCAATCATAAAGCTTACAGAAAGCTTTGGAAGCTCACATCCTTTAATAGAGAATAATAACCCGGATGAGATCTGTCATCAAATAAGTAGGACTAAAATAACTCTGAAAGATTTTGAAAAGATCATGGTGAATAAATCCTGTTCCCATCCACCAGCTCCTTGAGGAGAGTTCCTTCTCCTTAAAGCTTTTGCTCACCACATGGTACCTTTTAGTAGCTGCCCTCTGTCCAGTCTCCGTGGGCTGCTTTCCTCCATCCACCAGGTTTGCCAAGAATTCCTGCTCTGAGCAAGACCCTGCTCCGCTCCCTCACAGTGCCTGGATATCATTGCTATAATTACTCCTGGCCTCTCCAGTGTTGCTGTTGTTTCCATCACCCTTGAAGCAAAATGAGCCTAAGACAGAAAAATGGAAACAAGCCACTTCTGGCATCCGTCACAGCTATCAATTTCATGAAGACAAACTGGTGTCTTTCTAAACAGATGAGGTTGTAGAAACAGTTACAGGAATACAATTTGGAAATAGGATTCTAAAAAGTCTCAGTGTGAGTGCTCACCTTGTCTAAGCAATGGCAGTAAAATTTGGTTTGTCTGTCATCTGTGTAGACAGGAAAGCTTACAAATATTCAGGTTTGAAAATGATGGAACAGATAATGATCTTTAGACTTAGCACTTACAAAAATCCTTCTGACAAACAGCTTTCCTGTAAAGGAGCATTATGTTGGTGCTATTTGCAGCATTTATTGCAAATTCTGTGTTGGTATTTCCATTACAAGACTTTCTCACTGTTCTTCCAATGAAAGTCTTCTCCATAATGAAATATGGAACATCTGATCTCATCTCTTGGCCAGTGGTTGTTTTTACCAGCTTTACAGAAAATTGATGAAGCTGAGGTTTTTATATTTTACAAAGGTTAAAATAGCTGTGTAGGGGAGGCAGAGAGGGAGGAAGGCAGTAGGAATGTAACTGATGGCAATGGTTTGTATTTCAGTTGTAGGATCAAAATGCTGTTGGCATCATCTGCAGGCCAGTTGTGCTGTAGTGGAATTCATCACTGTTCTTAGTGCATTAAATTCTACACATTGTTCCATCTGTAGGAAAATATTTCAACAGATACAGAAATCTTTATCATGAGGTAGTAGCACCAGAAAGTAGAATACTATATGATATGATAKAATGCATTATTTTAAAAATAATTTCTGATTAAGGAGAGGAAAAAAATCACCACTTCCAAATTATGGAGTGCTGAGATTTTTTTTTTTWAATTTTKTTKTTGTTGTTGTTGTTTTGCTTTTCTGGGTTTTATGCTGTTGTCAAATTATATAAATGGGTGTGGTGGTGATCAAACTATTTGGAAGCACTCAATCCTTTTTAATTTTTTTTTAATTATTATTATTTTGGAAAGATCAGTAATATGAAATAAACTACKAGTCTTGTGCCTGCTCATGTGCATCTGACTAGAATTGAAAAGCTGAGAAAGGAATTCTGAGTCCCCATCTACTTCCTCAAAAATAGCAATAGCTTCACTGTTGTGAAGAGTTTTGGCTGCCAAAGCCACAGTGGCCACCTTTGCCTGTTGGGCGTTAATCTAAGTAYAGGTTTTAAAATACTTTGAATTTTAAAGCATTACCTAAAGTGACATTTTGAATTGAAGTGAATCTGCATTTTCCTTTCCTCTCATTGGTTTCATGCAAACAGAATAGAAGATTGTATTTGTATTCATAACCAAAAAAGTAAAGCCACTGTACTCAATTACCTCAAATTGTTAAATGTACTACATATGCATGCATAAGTGGAACTTGCAATCTATTAGTAATGAGAATTCACAGAATTCAGGCAATCTGATATTCCAGGACAATGTGAGAAAAATCTGTAGACAAACTATGCAAGGCTAGGCACAGAATCCTCAACATTTGTAAATACACGAAAACCAGGCTGGTTTAGGAAGGATTTATTTTAGACTTTTATTTAGAACAAAACTGTCAGGGGGCAGAAATCCAAGCCACTGTTGGATTGTTTAGAGGAAGGACAGTGGTAACTCAAGTCTTTTAGTCTCTAGGTTTGTATATGTTACAAATCCAGGTTTATATATGTTACAATCAAAAACTTGCTAAATACTCATAACTTTATTCTACAGAGAAAACAAACTACTCTGCATAGAGTGCGTAACTGTGTTCTAGGGCCTGATTTAATTTYGCCTTCATCAAGACTCTTGTACAGCACACCACGCTTTGTTCATGTGCTGGATCCAACGTTAATGTGATTTTTTTGTTGTTTTTCAGCTCTGAGGGACAACAGAATCGAGCTGGTCCGAGCATCATGGCACGAGCTGAGCATCAGCGTCAGCGACGTGTCGCTGTCGGACGAAGGGCAGTACACCTGCTCCTTGTTCACCATGCCTGTCAAAACTTCCAAGGCTTTCCTCACCGTTCTCGGTAAGTGCCGACAGCTGAGTGTGAAAAAGCTGATGTTGAACTCCCCGGGCTCTGGCAAATTGTGATAAGAATGAACTTTGCAAAGGCTTGGCAGAAGATAAATGTAAATGTCTGATCTGGTTTCCCTGATGGTTGTTGTTTCATGTTGCCGTGCTGGGAAATAACGCGGCTCTTAGCGTTTGCACCGTGGCAGGATAAGGAATTGGGGAATGCGCGAACACCGTGGAGTGAGTGCTCCGTAACGTGGACATAACCTCTGCATCCCCAGTGCCACAGTGCCAGGAAGGTGCATGTGATCATCTCCCAGCAATCTATTCCRTGGGGCAAAAGGGAGAAAATCACAAAGCATGAAATCAAAACGGGCTTTAGAGCTTTATCATTTTTACCTTAGCTGTGCATTTTTTTCTTTCTGCTCATTCTGGTTTTTGCCTTTATTTTTTAGTCTATAAAGTGCAAATTTTSACTGGGTTTGCGGCTTCTTTTATGCTTTATCCTCTAAGTGCTCTGCTGTTTTCCCCAAAGGTTATAGATACACWCAGAAAAGCAATAGATTTCAAGAGATGCCCAGGAAATAAAGTTTCTGCTCGAAGCYTTATATGATTCTATGAATGTCAGTGGCCCAATCAGCCAAAATTGCTATAGTTCATTGAAACACACCTGCGAACCTTAGAGGTTATATGATTTTAGAGATTGATTTTTATTCTTTTTTTTGCCTTTTTTCTGTCCCTGAACATGACTCTTTCTTTCTTTTTGTTTTATTTTTATATGTGGATGGGCAGACAGTTGAATTTAAAAGGACTAATGCAAGATATTCTCTGTGGCAGTAATATTCACATTAATCCAGCCAGGGAATTGGTTTTGTGCTTAGGATATGAAATACATCTCCCTTTCAGTCCCTGTGAGACTATTTTACAAAGATCTTCACAAGTTTGCCATTAAGGACAAAAAGTACCCACTCAAAGCAGAATATTCTGGAACAGCAACAGCCTGTTCTTAATCTTCTTTCTGCAGAGAGGCATTTCATGATCTAAACAATAGAGGTTTGCACCAGTTGAACATTTTAAATGGTGGAAAGACATAGAAAGGCATTACAAAGACAAAAAAAAAAACACCCAGAAAATATCTAGCCAGTATTTATCAACAAAAGTAACTTTGCCTTTCACAGACCTTTAAGCTTTATCTTCTTTTAGGGGAGGGTGTAATGAAATTTTCCCAATATCATCTACTTACCCTCCAAGAAAGAATGCTGCACAGTTTACGATTCCTGCCTTTTTTTATTTGGTGTTTGTAATTTTGTATTTCAAAGGAACATTTTAAACTCTTAAAACATTGTCTACAGGAGAAGGGGATCTTTGACACTGAAATGTTTTACATATTCTAATCATATAAACTATTTTCATGTACTAATAATGTTTTTATCGACTGCTCTGTTGTCGATTAGAAAATTTAAGTGTCACAGTATTGTAGTAGACACCATTTTCTGTCCTGAAATAGAGGAGTAGATTTATTAAAAAGATGTAGTATGAAATAGGTATTGCTGCTTTCCTTTTATGTACATAATCTGTCATTTTGGAAAAAAGATGTAGAAAAACCAACTTATGAAATATAGGGCACAGGATCAATTACTGTGACCAGGCCCTTTRTCTGGCCACAAATATGAATGCACCAAAGCACTGTAGATGCAAGTTATAGCTGACATTTTTTGAGATTTTTAAATTACTGTCATCAGTATTGCTTTAAAAAAAGTTATTCTTGTGTCTTTGTAAGATAAATGGATTTATAACCGTAGTGCTCAAAACTTTCACAATTTTCTTTTTTTTTTTTTAATATTTCATGGTTTATTGAAAAACAACCATTTCCAAATTTAATACTATGTGTACAGTGTGTCAAAATCATATGATCTCCTCTGAAGAATTTGTTTTCAGCTGAAGAACTCTCCATAGCCACTGGAGCTGTGATTATACCACTTGGTGTTTTGGTTTTACTTTCTCTGAAGATAAAACAACTCCTGTATTTATTTTCATCCTCTCTTTTCCCTGGGTTTTGTATTAAAGTCTCCATTACTCAGGCGTAAATATCTGTTCTGAACTTAGGTCAGTTCATCTTTTTGTTGCCTGTTATGTTTAATTTTCACAGCTGTGCTTCTAATGTGCTTTGTCATCCTGCTTGCTGTGCTGAACAGTTTAAATATTGCAACAAGTCAGACTAGACCTGCATGCAGAATATACATAGATAAGGTGTTTATTAAAATGCAATCTGTTTCTCTTAGACAATTAGGTAATTTTTTCATTATTTTTTTAGAATCAAATGCTGTTCAGATTGATGGTTTATTTACAATAGGAAAAAGGTTTAAGTGACAAGGCATGAAGAATCAATCATCCTGCTTCCAGAATTGAGAATTTATGAAGAAGTGAACTTTAAGTTGGTTGTGTRTTCATGGCAGTAGCTGACACTATCAGAAACATTTTGCTTGTTTGCTTGTTAGGTGTACCTGAGAAGCCACAAATTACTGGATTTACCTCACCAGTTATGGAGGGAGAGAGGATGCAGCTAACTTGCAAGACATCTGGTAGTAAGCCAGCAGCCGATATCAGATGGTTCAAGAATGACAAAGAAGTTAAAGGTATTTAAAAGGATTTTGGTGTCATTTGGTCCAATTGTCAAAACTATCTATTCTGTAGTATTGTATTTTTTAATTTGTGTTTGTGRGGTTTCTCATACTGAGCCATTAAACGAGTAGAGGATAGTGAATTGATTGAACAGATGAGGAATTGATTGTAAATTACTGCAGTGGTCATAATAACCATCTTTTTATTGTTTCTTCAAATGGTAAAACCTGATGTTTCAGATTTTTCAGAACTTTGTGCAGCACRATAAACTCAACTGTGAGGCTTCATAGAGAAATATTTAATGTATTATTTTTCATAGTCCCACCACTCACCCCCACTTTCCCTTTTCATTTATTTTGTGTCATTGCAATATGAGGTATGTCTGATTTAGTTAATTCCCAGATTTAGGTGGGAATATACCCTCCTAAATAACATGACCAGGTGAGGCAGAGCCATCCGGACGAGGCTGGAGATTGCGCTTCCCATAGGAGAGCTGTGGAGCCTGCTCTGGTGAGGATGAGTCAGGATGTAGGGAGGGAATCTCAGSTGGGAAACTCAGAATCTACAGCTGGGACAAGAGTGCTGATAGTCTGCAGCAAGGAGGAGGGAGAAGATGGATTTTAAGGGGATCAGAAAAACTTCACAGAGGCTGGGGGGAGCTGGACAAAGTCTGCTGTAACTGAAAAGCCACCGAGTGGCTAAACCAAATCTGACAGCAAGGATTTGCCTTTGAGGATGCAGCAAGCTGGGAAAGAACTGYATATGAAAAGCTGTTTATTTCCTTTCTGTCTTCTCTTTCACTTTGTATGTTCTTTGCTTAGAACTTGGTTTTCTAGTCCATATTCTTACAAAGGCTGGAATAGTTTTAAATCCTCATTGTTGAAGGAGTGAAGGGAGGTTTCTGCTGCAGAAGGCTTGGTCACACCTACAAGCCAATTGAGGTGCTCATTATAAAGTAGATGAATGAAAAGGATAAGGTATTGATATTTATTCATTTCACCTCTACTCATTCTGCTATAAGACCAAATGGATAAGTGATTCAAAATCCACCATTACTGTGGAGCTTTAAAAAAACCCATTCCCCCCCCCCTCAAAAAAATACAAAAACCACAAAAAACAACCAAAAAACCAAAAAAAAAAAAAAAAAAAAAAAAAAAAAAAAAAACCAAAAAAACACCCCATGCTTTTATTTGATTGATTTCTCTAATATTTTGGGTTTCATTAGATCAGTGAACTGCCTCAGGCAAAGTTGCAGAATTAATTAYAGAACCATTTCTCTTCCTTTACTGTTCTCTACCACAGTTCAATGTGTAAAACCAGAGCTGTGATATGAAGATTTAGAGATTTGGACTTGGTTGCCTAAGAACTCTGTCCGTTCTAGAGGTGTCCTTATATTTCCAGTGAAAATGAGCATAGTGTTGAAAGAAAYAGTTTTAGACTGGAATAATTTGAGATGTGAAACGGGGATAGAAAATGAGGAAATAAAATAATTCTTTTCAGTCAGTACTGGGAAGTTTGAGGAAATCGATGAAAGAAATGCAGCACCTCATCAAATGTAATTAAAAAGAAGAATTTAACAGCACAGCTAACACACATGGCACAGCATAGATTGTGTCATCCAGAAAAGATGGAACAATGAATATACRTATTCAAGGCATGTAAAGTTTGGAAATCACTCCAAACCATGCCACTACYTTAGGAGAAGCGCTGATACAGTTGGCCTAACAGCAACGCAACACATATTTGAAGAGATTTTATTAAAAAAATTATGTTTTGAAATCTGGGGTAATACCTTTGCCTTTCTTTCAGCTGGCATGTAATTGAAGCCAGAAAGCAATTTGGTGATTTGTCTTTTTAACTAATTTGTTAATTTGTTAACATTCAAGAGTTCCCAAAGAGATTTTTTTAAAAAAAGCATAACTGGGTGGGGAAGAAACAAAGAAGGTGTATGAAAAAGAACAGTGAAGGGGGAAAAAACACCCCCAAGAACCAGAAAAAAAGAGGAAAGTACAGATCACATTTATTTCAGTTTAGTTTTCTAGGTCTTCTGAAGAGCACATTGCCATTTCTCAAAGGTTAGGAATAAAATAACCTAACCAGTCTGCAGTGGCATCAGCAGAAGTTACATTAGCTTTGTGCAGTGTAGAAGGTGAAATGATAAATCTGAGAAAATAGATATGAAATTATATGCTAATGCAGCTGGCATTAAAGGTTAGGAGTTCTCCTGTCTAGCACCAGTAAATCCAATTGTGTTACACTGTATTATACGTGGTGCAAGCGAATATAAATGATGCACTGAGATCAGAGCTGCACCAAAGGGGAAAAAGCCACTCTAAAATTGTAGCTCCATTGCTATCACTCAAAAAAGGAATCATCATCTGCTAAAGGAATATTGTTTGATAAAGTAAGTGCTGGTAATGAGAGAGACTGAATGTGAAGMACTGGGCACCACACCTTTTCCTGTAGTGTTCTGTCACTCATATTTGCACCAGCTTAACAAAGGGATCTGCARTTTAGCATTCTGGTGACATTTCTGGAACATTATTAAAAGCAAAAAATACTGGAGAAGCTAAAAGTATCTTTTTCATTTTGAAATTACCTATCTTTTCCAACACAATTTGTTACATGCCCTTCCAACAAAATTGTATAAAGAATTATTTTTAGGCTTCAGGAGTATTTTGAATGGATTCTCTGTTTTGTTTAATTTTTTCTTGGAAAACCAGATTTTAAAAACAAGTTCATTTTGTTGCAACATATTAAGATAGTTTGAATAAATTTGTGTATTTTTAGTATACACAAAGTTTTCAGAGAAGCACTGAATATTTTGTCTTGATAAACCTCTAGAACAAAGATGACCATTTTTTAGATAACAAGGCTATTTCATATCAGAACTTGAGTTTAAACATGAGCAAAAATTACATCTGCCATGTAAAACCAGAAAAACCATATTTTCAAAAAAAAAAAAAAGGAGTATTTTCATTTGAATGTGAGGGGCATGTGCTTTTATAAATGGCTTGTGATGAGCTATGGGTGATGAACATTCCATAGTTTCCATTTATTGTTTTCACTGTCAAACATCTGTACTTATGAGATATAAACTTTTATTAGTTCATATGATTATTATTTGATATTATTTAATACAGGAATATCTGTATGTGCACCAGTCTGACAGAGTCATGGAGRTGCACCTGTAGCTGATCCTTTGGTTTCATTTGGCCCAACATCTATTCAAAGGTTAAATCAGGTGCTTAAAGGTCTTCTCCAATCCAGTTTTGAAAAATATCTCAAGACAGAGATTCCATTTTCTCTCTGGGGTCGATTTTTCAGCATTTTAAARCCCTCTTTGTGGAGTATTTTCATTATTTGTAGATATTTCATGATGCATAATCAGAATTTATCTCAGTGTAACTCRTGTTAGCATTTACTGTACACCTCTGAGAGGACAATGGTCTTTTTTTCTTTTTTTTTGCCACAATTTGGATACTTTGAGGCACCGGTTTGACCTGGTTTTACTCTTCCTTGGGTTAGATAATATCAACTTTCTTCAGCTGTCTTTGCACAGAGCTCTGCTGACCATCTCCATGGCTTTTGCCTGCACCTAATTGGGTTTGCCAACAGGTTTATTGTGCATTTTTTTTTCTTCAGAAAGCCCAAAACTGAGCCTGATACTCTCAATGTAGCCATGCATGTCCTGAATAGAGGACAACAATCACTTCCCTTGACTTTCTGGCTGTTCTATTACCTATGAAAGACWGTGGGGTTTAACTTCCAGCGCTGCAAAGACACTGTTGACTGATGCTCAGCCTGTCTTCAAAACCCCTGGTGCTCCTCTACAAAACTGTATTTGTCACCCCTCCAACCTGTTCCATTACAGAGCTTCCCAAACAAGCTGCTTSTGTAATGGATTTCTTTTTAACCTTTCCTTCAAGGCAATGTTTGAGAGAGAGAGAGGAACAGCAAGAAAATAAATGAAACAGTAGACTGCAACTGACAGTGTTTAAAATTCTGTAAAATATTCTGAGTGACGGTGTGTACCCAGCACCTGATCTGCACTGCTCTAGATCCAGTTGGGTTTGCAGTCAATTGGCACATATTGCAATCACACCTTCGTTTTGYCATGAAGAAACATCTAAGAAAACACAGCTGATAAAGAGGACAAGATAAATATTTCTGTTGGTGAGGATGTCAACAGTTTATAGAATATTATCACTGCCCTTCTTGCAGAGGGAGTTAACTCYAAGAGTTGAGCCCTTTCAGACAGTGCTTGGAGAGAGATTTCTAAACACTCATTTAGGAAATTAACTGCTTTTGTTTTCCTGAAGCATTAAGAATCCACAACTTCTCACTAAAATTAAAGTTGTGGTTGTTTTCAGGAGTCTTCTGCCCTCAACCTGAATTAAGCACAGGGATGTGTACATTACTTATAAATAGCATGTTATCTATWGAGGTGCTTATTATTAAATTTGGAAACCTAACTCTGGGAACAAAATCCCATGTGTTTGCTTCCAGTATTAGGGGGAACATTTAGTGTTTGATTATAATAACTTTACTTTAGCACTCATCAGTATTTCTCTCACCTACTCTAAACTACCTTTGCTGATCCCTAAAAATTAATAGTGACCATGGCAGAAATTGAAATCTTTTAAAGCTTAGCAGCAAACATGTAGAAAAATGCTTGTATGCAAGAAATAATTATTTTTTTGGGGGAAATGGAAAGTGTATAACTACGTGGTGTCCTTGTCTGTCTGGAGACAATGATAAAGACCACCTCTCTGATGTCAGAGGTATTTTTAATCTAGAAAGATGTAGCTTAAGCCATTGAAGATTCGCTTYCTAAAATTGATATTTCATGGAAATTTTATTTAGGTCATTCCGTTCTCTAATGGGATTTAGTAYAATTTGTAAAACTGAAACCTCTCACTTTTTTTAGGGCACAGAGGACATATGAAATCTCAGTGTAATTTAATATATATGTTTAAGTATTTATAGATGTCTTTTCAAGCTTTCATTGCAATAAATCAATATAACAAGCTTACCACTTTTTTTCTGAAATAAAACTAAATCRATAAGTATTACAAGTAGTTGGGAACCAAGTAAAACAATTCTAAAGTATGTAAGAAGATCTCATGTTCCAGTTAATACATTAAAACATTAACACAAATGCTCAGTCTTTTGGTTCTTCATTTCTGATCCAATTTATATATCCTACAATRAAATATTCTGAATGTGAACCTTGACCTTGAGCTGATGCTTCCTAAAAACATTCCCTGCACTCCAATGTCTGGGCTGAAAACTCTCAGGTTTTTAACTGGACCTGCATAGAAACAGCAGGGCAATTTAGATTGATATAAAGCAGTGGGAGGGAGTTCTCTGTAGTAATTTTATTTCTAGTCTTCTTGGGATTTGTCTGTAGATTCCAGTGAATACTGTCACATGCTCTATTTACAGTTGTTCATTGCCTCTGATGATTATACCTGGGTTTAGTTTTATTAGGAAGTTAGAATGATTCTAACCAAACAATAGAATAAGCAATGAATGAAGTAAGCACAGGATTAATCTGACTACATGCACGTGGCTTCAATAATATCCATTTATTGAATTACTCTAAAATGTTATAAATTGGTATGAATTTTGAAAATTTATTATTTAAGGACACTGTGAATATGTAAGGTAATGAAAGTGGGACAAGATAACTTTTTTTTTTTTTTTTTCTGATGACCTGCAGAGAAAGTTTATATCAAATGTGGACCTAAACATTTAAGAGGTAATAATGAATGGCGTTTCTGTTGGAATGCAGTATCATGGTACCAGTTTTAAAATTTTCTCTTTTAGCATGTATCTCCTACTCTGACAATGAGAGCAAACTCAGGAATGCCTGCAGTCTAATTAATTTATATGAAAGAGATCAATACAGATATGAAAGATGTGTTTTTTTTTTTTTTTTTTCCTAGCAGCTGTGATAGATAATTTAGCTGTCTAATTCCAGAAATATTGGAGATAAAACTATCTGTTTATTCTTTCTTTCAGATGTTAAATATTTAAAAGAAGAAGATGCAAATCGCAAAACATTCACAGTCAGCAGCACGATGGATTTCCTAGCAGATCGCAGTGATGATGGTGCAGTTGTAAGTTGCAGAGTAGATCATGAGTCCCTAAACTCTACACCTCAGATAGCAATGCAGGTTCTAGAAATACACTGTAAGTAATATGTTATAAATGCTTGCTTTTTTATAGTTTTGTTTTRTTTCAGAGTTTCTGTTGGAGAAAAATTGTCTGGTGTTGTGCAGATAGATAACAGCTTTCTTTTAGCCAGCATCTGTGGTTTGTATTTGGTWGGTTGGGTGGTTGGTTGTTTTGGGGATTTTATATTATTTTTATGGGAATTACTTTAAAAAGTTTTATGAAAGCTTTGATAGCACTGTGGGACTGAATTCTTGGTTTTCTTTGAGAAGTACTGGGGGGAAAATGCATTTGTCTTTATTGTTTATCATTGAAGCAAAGTGAACATGTTATTAGATGTCAAGAACATTCTGATTCACAATTTTCCTTGGAAGTATCTAGAAACTTKAAACAAGGGTACAAATAAGCAAAGTTTTTGTAGCAGATTGCCTTAATAATGCTGAATCCTGCTAACGAAACTCTGTAGTTGTGTTAATAGCACAAGCCCAGGAGTAAAAGCCTTTTAGAATTTATTTTTAGGTCTTGCCTACACAAGACGTTAGCCTAGATAATCCAAAGCCAAACTTTTTTTTTTTTTTTTTTCCAAGTAGCATTTGTAGACATGATGTTTTCCACTGTGCATTTTTTCAAAGTTGAATGATCCTGTGTATCTGTGTCACACGTCAGGTTTTCCTTTGAGTCAGTGGTTTGTTTTTTTTTTTTTAACTTGCAAACTGGGAGACATTCAGGAAAACACCTTTTCACCACCAGCTGACATTTCCATAGTCACTTGTGTCATATCCAGCACTCTTCAGGGTTCAGCTGTTTGGTTTTCTGCAGAACCCCTGCACTTCTCATTGCCCAGCTAGAAAAAAGGATTCCAAAATTATGTCAGAGCAGACACAGAAAGAAACCTTTCATGCATTTCTTTCTAGACTAGATGCAGCCAGCCTGTGATAAACCAGACCAGGTTTTCCTGAAGCAGACAAGTGTTCAATGACTGCAACCAGTCCGTGAGGTACCAYGTCCAGGACTGCTGCCATATGTAACTTGTTTCTAAATAGGGATATTTCTATGAGCATCTAAGACTTGCAGCACATGTAAAATGCAGGAATGGCACAAGCGCTCCGTGCACAGAAGATGCACTTCTGTGCACTCTCTGCACAGAAGATGACAACTTTGCTGAAAATGCCATCTGCAAAAGAAGTCTGAAATGAAGAGAATGTAGATTAGAATATGTGCTAAAAATGCTTTCTTGTATATCCTGGCCATCATTTTACAGAGAGAGATCAGGGCCTTTCTTCACCAAATGGCTATTAAACACCTCTCCTAATATATTCAATTGCATCTGTGCTGGAGACGTGAATCCTTAACAACTTCATTTCCTTGAATCCTAAATTGCACAGCCATCAGCCACTGAAATTGCCTGTGCCTTCCCTTCCTCATTCCTTGCCCTCCCTGCAGTGCCTTGCTCAAGATGTTGGCACCACAGGACATGAACCAAATGGAATGGAACAGTAGATACAGAAATTGGACAGCTGCATACGGTTTACAGTGGCTGCAATGTAATGTGATGGAAGGTAAAGGCAGGGCTCTGGTTTGGATGAGTATCATGAGGCAAAARATCCTTTTTGTGGCCTCTTGTATATAAAATTCTTGAATATTTATTGTTTCCTTCCAATTCGCACCCTTGTAGCAAGACACAACCTTGCTAAACAGCAGTGAGATGCATCTTCCTCCATGCCTGTTGCTCCAAAATTTGAACAGGACCCTTCTCTTTGTTCTCTGGCTTCACTGAAGTTCTCTAACAAGGTCAGACTGCACAGGGCATTTGCATTTCTGGTGTGCTTTATGTTACTGCCCCCTCAGACTGCCAACTTAACAAAAGCTACAATGCACAAGTAATGTTCTCTATCTTTCCTGCTGGCTCCATTAATTTTCCACCMATCAATTTAATACTCTCCAGCACTGGCATAGAGTTGTTATACACAGAAAGAGAAGTGATAAATGTGACAAAAGAAGTTGAGAGCAGAGAGTGGAAGTACCATTTAAAGCTGTGGAGAAAGAGGGATTATATTTTTGGGGAGAAGAAGACTGAGAACAGTCAGTTATTTTCCTTTTCCTTGCCACCTCCATTTCCATGGTCAACACACTCAGAAGTCTTAATGCTGGGCAAGTTTTGAAAGAAAATATGTTAAACAGAGAAGATTCAAGGAACTGATGATGTGGTTCATCAGAGAGCCTTAAAGGAAAAGGAGGAGTAAARTGATTTACTAGAGCAATCCCAAACACTCCAGCTGGATTTGTAGCACAGAAATTGGGTCCCTTGATTTTATTCTCCTGGTGTTGCTCACCGTTGTTGTGGATGTTACTGCAGCCACTGGAAGTTGCTTTTTTTCCCCATTAATCCATAAMATTTCAAACATATAGGAGACATCCTATTTGTATTAACAAGAATCATGCTCATAGGACCTGGTGGAAGCTGATSCAACATTTACCTTCCATGCCACCTTGCAGCAGGTCCTAAATAGTGCTAGCTTGGTRAATTATGGGTCCTCATGGGGAGAGTCAGGAGAATTTGTTAATCTGGCATCCTGTAGGCTCCAAAATCACAACCAAGTTAGTGTGGTGCTGCCACTTGTTCTGAATGTCCCAGAGATCTTTCAGCTGAGCAGACAACTGTGAGAGAATAATAAACAAGTCTCTTAAAATAGTCAGAGAAGCAAGGGTGAGCACCAGCCTGGCAGAAAATGAATGTACAAAGAGGGGGCATCTCTCACTAGGACTGCATGTAATTTTTAAACACCTGCCTAAAATCTGAAAACTTTAATCTGTGGCACATGGATACTCATGAATTATCAGTGTATCATCAGCAGTTAGAAGAAAAGCACAACAAGAACTTCCCTAGCCATTTCTGCCCTGAATAATTATGCTTGAAATTTGAAAAGTYTTTTTTTTTCTTTTTTCCAAGCAACTGGCCACTGAAAATGGACAAAACAAACAAACAAACTAAAAAGCAAAGAAAAGTGAAACAACAAAACAGTAGGAATTACAGGGTTGTGTTTGCACCCAGTGGATGATAGGTAGAGAAAAATGAAAGCAAAATAATGGAGTGAAATGACAGGTTTTGATGTACGCCTAGTGAAAGATGGAGCAAAATTAAATCTGCCTTAGATGCTGAGAMTGTATGAAACAGATATTTGTAATTAGTCCATGGAGAGATGCAGATAGAAGTGCTTATGAGTTCGCACAGCTGCTTTTATCATCAACTTTAGTGGGAAATAAACTTAACAAAATGAAAGCCATCAGATATAGAATATGCTTTATTCCCTCTCCTTTCCCTTACACAAATCTTATTTTTTATAAGTGTGATAGAGAAATCAAATAAGCTTTCCCAGCAGAACTACAGTGTATGAAATGAACCTGAGGACCAAACTTSTACACTCAAAATATTTTTATTTTCTTTTATTACAAATTTATGTGCATGTGATAGAAATAGTGTCTAAGTTCTTCTGCTGCTCTTTTCTTTTCTTTCCTTCTTACAGTTCAGTCTGGTATTTGAGATTGCCTATATMATTTATSCCTGAAAGAAAGATATCCTTGTCAKTCCTTGTTTTCACACRGCTTCACAGATTAATCTTGAAGACTTGAAATATTAAAATAATAGGGGAAAGCATAACATACCCCACTCCAGACTGTGGGATAATTAGCTCCTCCAATCTTTTGATTTATTTGTCAGTAATTCATGTTATGTCTCACTTGTGCTTAATCCTGTTCTTGTGTGTGCTGTGCTCTGCACTACAGGGCAGCCCAATTGCCCAAGCCTTTCTGCTGTGCTGAAAGGTTTGGCTGTAATTTACTTTTCTGCTTGGCCAGCAGAGGTTTGTGGTAGTATGACACTGCTGGCTGAGTTTATTTTCCCTCTGACCCTCCTTGTCAATAGCAAACCTAAAATAGACTCGTATCCCCTCTGGCTTTGCTCTGAAGTTTGCTTGTCAGCCCAGCTGCCACTGATCATTAGGAAGTGCTTCTTGTAAGTGATAAATATAAATCTCAAAGGGATATTTAATTTCATTGTTTACTTCTGCGTTCAGGCTGAACAAAGAACATGTTCTTTGTTCCTGTATGAAAGAATCATGGGTACAGTACTTCAATTTTGAAAGCTTCTCAGTGCAGTGTTTAAGAGATTGTYTCAGACCTCATGAAAAGACATTTTGAGGGCATGTACAGCTTGTGGTGCACATCTGGGAAGTTAGTGAATTCTTCTCATCCCTCCTAAATGTCACAGACGCCTTGTGATTCCCAAAAGCAGCATCTTCACTTCTTTCCAGGTCTCATCCAAGCAGAAAGCAGCCAACGTGTTGCTTCCTACTGAACAGAGCGCCATAAAATTACCCAGTGGTAATTACYTTACCTTAGTGAGGATTCTCTGAGTGCAGTAAATTACCCAGCAGACCCCAGCAAAAATTAATTGTGTAAATCTACCCCAGAGGCTGCTTTTGAAGYCTTAAAGTAAAATCAAATCATTTGAACTTCAAACCTAATCATCCTGCTTCTAAAATGGCAGCTGTGATGTGATCCGTGCTAATGGACTCAGTGAGATTTTGCTCAAACGCTGACCACATTCCCAAATGACAGCACTAATAAGCTAAATATGTGTTATGTAAAGAAGTGTCTGGAGAGGCAATTCTGAGTAAATTCTATATTGGCAGACACAGATGCGCAGTGAATTGTCGGCCTGACAAATCTATAGCCGTCAGCTAACTCGCTTCCACAGGCTATTCCAACATCTTTGTGTGATGGCAGCTYCTCCTTTCCTGGGCTGTTATTAGATTCTCTTGCAATGAACCTTACAGCTCCAGTTTAAAATTGGGCAGCTATTCCATGAGAATGTTGGAGTCATTGTCCTGGAAATAAAAACATTGATTTTGCCTTAAGTAAACAAAGCCCTCAGAGTGCAGCGGGATCGGATCAGCCGCACGATCGCGGTGTCTGTGTGTGTGCAGGTGTGTCTGACACCACTGTGACACTCATCCCTG